ACTGTAAGATTTACACAATATTACGTCGGCATCGTAAGATTTATGCAAGTTTATGCTAAATTAATTTCCTGATGTTAGCACAGATATTAGAGAAAAAATACCGTTCTGGTATTCCCACAAGATCTACAAAATTAGTGGAGTGTGGAATCGTTTTTCAAGGAAAGCAGGCATGTGTGTCGAGTAGAGTTCTTCACAAGGAGAGTAATAGGTGGGTAGAGACAGCTCAATAATTTCCCAATAAAAAAATCTTTCTTTCCTTTTAAATAAATTGCTATTTTTATTTGATTAGTTATTTATGTGTATTTTAAAGGGTCAATAAGAGAGTTGATTAAGGAATTACATATTAATATGTAAATTTAATGATGTATAGAAATCAATTAATTAATGATATTAAATTCGTTAATATTAAAGAAAATTCAATTGTATTATTATTATTATTATTATTGATAACAAAATTTTGATCCCTGAAATTCTTGGTAATACCGATGTTCACTTTGTCTGGTTTTGTTGCAGTATGCCCCATATGTTCTCCCAATGAAGTTGACCAATGAAATTTAATATCAATGTCACATTAATTTGTGGTACATAGATGAAATTACGCAACTGTTTTTTTTCTCTAAACGAAGATCTGGTCTGGGATGGAGAGAGAGCTGGGCATTCATTCATATTTAATTATCAGAAGTATTATTGGTATGAGAAGAAATATTATTTTTTAATAACCAGAAGTATTCTTTTTGTATTAATATATATTACCTTATTTAACATATTTTTTTTTTTTTATAAAATAGCCCAACATCATATAAACGTGGAGCGAGATTTATTATCAATCTCAAGCGTTTAAATGACATTACAATCATTCTCTTTTTCTTATGTGCATAAAGGCTAATCTGACTTGTTCCCCCGACGATACGACCTGCACTTAATTTCAGGGGGAGAGCGCGGCCCTGAAGTTTATTGAGAGTGAATTGTGTTGTCAAAAAGGCTGTTAAGGCCTCTTAATTGTCCAAAGCCTTCTAACATGTGGGATCCTTCTGATCTGTGGAAAATTCTACAGTGTGAAGGGGTGCAATAGCGCCTAACTGCATGTTCGTGAAAGGAAAATTTCATTAAATCTGACTCTTAAATGATTAACATCAGATTTATTTTTCATAAACATTATTATTATTAAGAAATTGTCAAAGGAAAAAAGGCGACAAGACTATTGAAAGAGGTGGAAGTTGCTCTTGGACAATTTGGAAATACCGAGCAACAGATTGGAAATTGGAAATATTTAAAAAATTACGATCGTTCTCTTTTTCTTGTGTGCAAAAGGCTAATCTGACTTGTTCCCCCGACGATACGATATGCATTTAAATTTCAGGGGGAGAGCGCGGCCCTGAAGTTCGTTTAAATTGCATTATTGTCAAAAGGGGCTGTTAAAGCCTCCTACACATTTGTCAATGCCTCCTAAGATGTGGGATCCTTCTATCTGTGGAACCTCTACAGTGTGAAGGGGTGCGATAGCGCCTAACTGCATGTTTGTGGAAGGAAAATTTTATTAAATCTGACACCTGCGTGATATCAATATCAGATTTATTTTTATGGAATTTTGGAAATGATTTTTAAGGGAATTCTTTCTACCTGTCGCAACTTGTAATTGTATGTATGTATGTATGTACAATTGGGGAGAAAAAATAATTTTGGTAAAATTTTGGAATATAATTATTTAATTATTTATCTTTGTGTGACTTTTTTCATTTCTGCATGGTCTTAGTATTATTATTACTTGGTCAATGCAATTATTTATTACGAATAATGACATCAAATGCATTTACATAATCATGAATATGAATATTGTAATAGATATGATACAATAGTGGAGCGAGGTATTCACTCATTCACATTCAAGGAAAGGATTAAATAACAAAAAGATAAGTAACGTTTTATTTATTTTGATTTGACCGAGAGGAAAATACATGCTGTATTATGGAATATAAGTATCACTTGAATATAGGCACCAGTGTGAATTTGCGACATATTTTTGATTTTCTTATTTTTTACATAAAGGTAAATTGTAAAACTTGGAGCTTTTCTGCGTCAGTATAGAAAGAACCTTTTTGATTTTCGGCATTTTGGGAAGAATTTAAAACGGATTAGAGTTTAAACACAAGGAAGCAAAAATGCAAGCACCACCCACATCAAAATGGTGTTAATATTCCCAAATAATCGGTATGTTCATTTTTTGCTATTCATTATAATAATACCATTGACTTTGGATTAACTCCAACTGACAAATAAAAAAAAAGTGTGATTGTTGTAAACTAAGTAAAATAGAGGCTCTATAGGATCCCTTGTTGCTTCATAGGACCATTTTTATTGTAATTGTATCTTACAGATTTGCCGGAGTTTTCTAGGTGCCAGTAGGATAATTTCAATAAATTTGTAAAATAAATTAATTGACGAACGAATATTGTACATAAAAGCTTGCAATTAATTGACGAGTATGGTTAAAAATTTAATTCAAAACTCTGCTATAAAACGTAAAATAATTGAGGCTACACTCGCACTAGCCAGTCGAAACAATGTTGAGAACTTGCTTTTATGATATCTCCACGACACAAAAGGATCTTTATTCTAATTTGTTTCTTCTTTTAGGACGTACTCTTGATACTAAAGGTTAAAAATGGATTAATAATAATAACTAGAGAATTCAACATGTTAACAACTTCAATACATGTAATCTTTGATTCTTCCATTATATCACCTTCACTATTATTCACTATTATTCTTTCTTTTGCTGTTTCCAAAATGGCATTATCTGTTGGACTGTTCATGATTTCATCTTCATCATGTTGATTGAGAAATTGCTATACATCCATTGAATTCGGTATCCAAGATTGTGCAAAATCACAGACAGCCTGGACCTTTTTCATTTTGAGAGTGCATTCCACAATGAAGAAAACAATGATAAATAGTTTTAGACTTAACATCATTTTTCTATTCAGAAATAAGGAGGCGGCTGTAGAATATCAGTTTCCTCTTGTTTGCTTCAACATCCTGAAGTATCAATTGATGGAATTACCGTCAGTAATAAACTTTAAGATTTCTGGTAATAATAACATTAGCATCACAAGACTGATGTGTAGAAAGTATATTGTGGTATTGTGGCATTGTGCAGTTCATATCCTTCCTTCTTTTACATGAGCTGGACAGTTGTCAACCTTGCCTTCAAATTCTATCAATATTGAATTCCTAAAACTGCACATTGAAGCATCTATGGCTTTTATGCCTCCCAATTACCTACCAAACATCGCAGCTTATTAGATTTATCACCATTGGTACACTCAATGTGTTTATTTAACAATGCAACTTCAATATTAAGGAAACTTGATGTGGGAAAACATTTGTACTCTCTATTGACGGTGAAATCCATTATTTACAACAAATGTTAATTTTTTGAAAATAAATGTCCAGGTTTTATTGCAGTCCACTCCCATATTAATCAATATATTTAAAATTATATTTTGCAATTTGATCTAAATTTCTCATTTGTTGCCAATCACGTTAATATTAATATTAATTTGTGTACACGTTGAATCAATGATAGAGATTTTTCATATTACAATTATTACAATTTCAACTTTCAACTAAAAATTTCATGGTATTTTTTATTGTTATTTTTTTTATTTAAAAGAGTGAGATATAGAGTGAGATATAGTTAAAAGAGAAACGGGAACTTTTTAAAAAACTAATCTTTAACTCTTTAACTCTACAATCTAAAAAAAAAATTTTTTTAAAGGCGAAATTCTAGTTTTTTCTTTTTCAACAAAGAATCTAAGACAAAAAAAGGAGCTAGGCCTTCATATTTAATTTATCAAAAGTATTATTTGGTATGAGTCCGAAAAAGACATGTTATTTGTTAATAACCAGAAATGTTTTTGTATTAATTAATACCTTATTTATTTTTTTTATAAAATAGTCTAAGCATCATACAATCATTCTCTTTTTTCATTATGTGCAAAGGCTAATCTGACTTGTTCCCCCGACGATACAATATGTGTTCAAATTTCAGGGGGAGAGCGCGGCCCTGAAGTTTGCTAAAACTGTATTATTGTCAACAGAGGTTGTTAAAGCCTTGCACTTGTCTGAAGCCTCCTAAGATGTGGGATCCTTCTATCTGTGGAACCTCTACAGTGTGAAGGGGTGCGATAGCGCCTAACTGCATGTTTGTGGAAGGAAAATTTTATTAAATCTGACACCTGCGTGATATCAATATCAGATTTATTTTTATGGAATTTTGGAAATGATTTTTAAGGGAATTCTTTCTACCTGTCGCAACTTGTAATTGTATGTATGTATGTATGTACAATTGGGGAGAAAAAATAATTTTGGTAAAATTTTGGAATATAATTATTTAATTATTTATCTTTGTGTGACTTTTTTCATTTCTGCATGGTCTTAGTATTATTATTACTTGGTCAATGCAATTATTTATTACGAATAATGACATCAAATGCATTTACATAATCATGAATATGAATATTGTAATAGATATGATACAATAGTGGAGCGAGGTATTCACTCATTCACATTCAAGGAAAGGATTAAATAACAAAAAGATAAGTAACGTTTTATTTATTTTGATTTGACCGAGAGGAAAATACATGCTGTATTATGGAATATAAGTATCACTTGAATATAGGCACCAGTGTGAATTTGCGACATATTTTTGATTTTCTTATTTTTTACATAAAGGTAAATTGTAAAACTTGGAGCTTTTCTGCGTCAGTATAGAAAGAACCTTTTTGATTTTCGGCATTTTGGGAAGAATTTAAAACGGATTAGAGTTTAAACACAAGGAAGCAAAAATGCAAGCACCACCCACATCAAAATGGTGTTAATATTCCCAAATAATCGGTATGTTCATTTTTTGCTATTCATTATAATAATACCATTGACTTTGGATTAACTCCAACTGACAAATAAAAAAAAAGTACTCGATAATTGACACTTTAAATTACGCGTACGTATATTTATTTGCAATGAAAAACTATTTTAAATGTTTGTACATGAAAATGAATTTTCGTTAATTATAAATATAATACATAAAAATATGCTTTTTTTTTTTTTTTTTTTACCAAAGTTCATATTTTTTAAGAAAAGTTATATTTTAGCGATATATATATATTGATTTGAGTAGTGGAAAATTTTTTTTGATTAAAGTTCATATTTTTTTAAGTTATATTTTAACAATATATATTAATTTGAGCAGTGGAATTTTTTTTTTAAAGTTCTTGTTCAACCTTATCATATTCTTCCCAATTTCTTTTACCTGCCATTAAAACAACTTTGGCTTTAAGTAAATCTTTAAACCATTGTAATTGTCTCATAGTTTTGCGACTATGTACTCTATTAATTCTTCTTTCATCGGATCCAACTTCGCCTCCGCCTCCACATTTACGTAATCCCCTTTCTCTTGTTGACATCATATCATCTCGTTCACCCCTATAACTATTAGACATTGTTGTTTCCGCTGATGATGATGATGATGAAGCTATTGATCTATCGTTATTCAAAGTACTATTATTATTATGAATA